CCAAACCAGGAAACCTGAAATGCATCCATTCCAGGCCATAAACTGCTTTTGGGGCAAACCTCTGTGTTTGGGAATTGATTCTCACTTTTGTAAGATCACAGCCCTCAAAGATCTTCAGTGAAGTAATGTAAGAAAATGTGAAGACAGGAAAACAACAATTTCTCAGCGCAATGAAAGACTTTTTCCTCTGATCTTCCAGAGACTTTTGGGAGTGTTGCTAAGAGGATCTTTATGGGACTGGAAATTAATTCCATCATCCTAGGTATACTGGATGGTGTGAGAGCTAAATGAAAGGGGGAAAAAGACTTAGAAAGAAGTAACTTGAGAGAGCAAGAGCTCAAAGCAAAAGAAAAGTAATAAAGGAAATGTTAAAATTCCATCTTAAGGCATGAGAGCTGCTCCCTGTCCTCAACGTGCCTTTCATGTTCAGGCAGTGTGACAGAGGAGGAATGAGAACACAAAGGCCCCTCTACTTAAAGCTCTGGCATCCAACAGATTGCAGGGAGCACTTCCTCAAACCATCACACCTCATTAGAGGCTTTCCCTCTAACAGGGAAAATTATGGCTAATCCAGGGAGAAAGGGGGGAAAATGCCACAACCCCACCAGAGACAGCATCATGCTAAACAGGGATTTGGCTTTTGATCAGGAACAGGCAGCCCAGAAAAAACTGAAAGGGTCCATGAGGTTCCAAAATGCCAAATAAATCCCTGTCCCAGGTGGACTGCAGCAGGTTTGGATCAACATCTCAGTGTTTCATTGTTCTCTGATTCTGTCCCTCCCCAGGAGAACCACGGGGTGTAAAAATAATTAACCAGCCCTACTTGCTGCATGTTCTATATTAAAGGAGAGCATCCCCTCCACCAGGTTTATTTTGTAGAACTGTGACATAGTGGCAATTAGGGATAATCAAGCCCAAAATGGTTGGGAGCAAGAGCATCTTCCACAGCATCTTCTCTTAGTTGCAAAAAATGGGAAGCAAAAGGCCAACAGCCCTTGCTGGGCAGCTGATCTCGGCACAGAACACTGGAGATCCGGCTACAAATTAATTATTATTACAATTCATATTAGTTTTATTAGTGTTATATTAATTTTAGATATGTTTTATTTTGTTTCAATAGTTAAACTGTTCTTAACCCCCAAGCTTTACTTTTGCCCTGA